CTGGCCCCGCCCCCGAGCCTAATCGGCCGTGCGCCCCCAGCCCGAGCGGAGGCGAAGGGGTACTTACTTGTGAAAAGAAACAGGCTTATCCTTATGATACCGGTTCTTGCAGCCGTAGGCGGAGCAGGACTGCACCATCCTTCCAGTCCTCAGCCGTCTCACTTCTGCCGCCCCAGCAGGCAGGTGAAGCGGCTACCAATGTCGCTGCTCTCGGCTTTGACACTCTCGCTTCTCCTGTAGCTTTGGCCAACAGTCACAGTGGTGATCGCCTCCGTCTGGGGCGCCTAATGTGCCCGTTTTGTTGTTTGCATTAGCAGAAGGACCACAACCATCCCCCGTCTCCCATCTCCAAGATGGCGGAGGCAGCTTCAACCTAAGCTCTCGCGAGGAGTTCGTCCTGCGCTTTCCGATTAGCTTTGAGGTCAGAAGTAACGCTCCCTGGGAAGCAGGCCATTGGTTGAGGCGGCGGCGGGCTCAGCGTTGCGGAAGTGGGCGGGCCTGCGACCTTCCGGAAGGGAGAAAGGAAGTGCTCGCAAGAGGCGGGGAGGGGAGCGGAGCGGAACTGTAGGATCGGGCTCCGCGTCTCCTGCTTTTCTCGGGCTGGTTCATCGGGCGGGTTAGCGTGGGGAGCCGTGCGGTCTGTGGGGTCTGCAGGTTTAAGGGAGGACTGGTGTAAAGCTGAGGTCGCTGGGTTATGGCGCCGATTTCTTTACAAGGGCGGCCACTGATCATGGTTTGTAGAAACCCCAGTTCCCATTAATAGTTGAATGTATAAACGGTGGTATACGATGGAATACCACATAGCAACCAAAGTAAAGAAGCTGGGGCCCATCACTATGGAAGGTTCTTACAAAAGTCAGACAAAATATACTACGTGATTCTATTTTTTGTAAAGGAATAAAAAAGTAGGCAAAACGGAGGTCAGAAGAGGTTACTTTTGCGGAGAGGCAGTGAAGGGCGGCTGGTGGGACCGCGGTAATGTGCCTGTTGACTGAAGTGATGGTCAAACTGCTCACTTTATGGTAATCAGTGACCTTTATGATTTCTAAAATGTTTGATGTTCTACTTTAGTAAAACAGCTTTTCCAGCGGTTCTCAACCTATGGGTCGCGACCCCTTTGGCGGTTGAACGACCCTTTCACAGGGGTCGCCTAAGACCATCCTGCATATCAGATATTTACATTACAATTCATAATAGTAGCAACATTACAGTTATGAAGTAGCAACGAAAATAATTTTATGGTTGGGTCACAACATGAGGAACTGTATTTAAAGGGCCAGAAGGTCGAGAACCACTGTAAGCCAACAAGGGCCACAGATATGCAACACTGCCCTTTTTTTAAAAAAAAAATATTTTGACTTTTTACAGAGAGGAAGGGAGAAAGAGAGGGATAGAGATAAGATATGCAACACTGCCCTTTTTAAAAAAAAAATATTTTGACTTTTTACAGAGAGAAAGGGAGAAAGAGAGGGATAGAGAGTTAGAAGCATTGATGAGAGAGAAACATCGATTCAGCTGCCTCCTGCACACTCCCCACTGGGGATGCGCCTGAAACCAGGGTACATGCCTTTGGCGGGAATCGAACCCAGGACCCTCCAGTCCGCAGGCTGATGCTCTATCCACTGAGCCAAACCCATCAGGGCAAAACTGCCCTTTTTAGGAGAATGATATATTTATATGCTCATTTGGCCCCTTCAATAAATGCTTAAACAGTGAATATATGGCCGAAACCGGTTTGGCTCAGTGGATAGAGCGTCGACCTGCGGACTGAAGGGTCCCGGGTTCGATTCCGGTCAAGGGCATGTACGTTGGTTGCGGGCACACCCCCAGTAGGAGATGTGCAGGAGGCAGCTGGTCGATGATTCTCTCTCATCAAAACTGCCTTTTTAGGAGAATGATATATTTATATGCTCATTTGGCCAAAGTGAATATATGTTTTATATGATCATTTGAGGGAAAGATAATAGGGATAAACTGAAGAGAGGTAGTTAGAAGTTTGATGCTTTCAAAGTTTAATGCATTTACTATTAAAATACTTTTTAAGGTAAGGAAAAGAAATAATACATTGACATTTAAAGAGTAAGTTTTGTTACAGTTATTCTAGGATAAACTTTATCGTGTTTGATAAACTGAAGAAAAATAAGCCACTTGTTTTGACATAGGAGAGGGCTCAAGATGTTTTTAAACTCACTGATATCTAACAGTTTAGATTTTAATTTCTGTCCAGCTGTGGTTTTTTCCTATAAACCATTTGTATTTTAGAAAATACCTTTGCATTCATTCTCTCTCTGGGCCTCCTTATCTTCATCTATGGAGTAAGGCTGTAGGACTAAATGAAGAATTCTTAATTTAGAATCCACAATGTTCAGGTCTTGAGTCCCCTGAAAAGGAATAAAAAGTATACATACATGTGTATATACGCATTTTTCTGGGGAGCTGTCCATAGCTTTCATTTGATTTTCACAGAGAAAGTACAAACACTAGCCAATTTGTAAGGACCCTTACATCTCTAATATTCTAGGATTAGTGAAACAAGATTGTCATGTAGATATAAATTATAGGTTTTCCCTAAGACTAATTAGAGGGGTGGATGTCTTGATCTGAATATTATATCTTTAAATAGTTTTTAAAATTTTTGTGTTTTTTTTTTCATTAAAATCTATTAGATACCAATGAGTTTAAAACATCTTTGGCCCTTAGCCCTCTCCTACATCCCATATTACATTTCCCTCAAAAGGCCTGTAGCTGAATACCACTAGTCCGATGAAGAATGAAGGAGAATATCCAAACATGCTCTGTGTTTTCGGACAGTGTTTAATCCTCTCCTGTACCGCTCTGGGATATGGGACCATCAGAGGGTATGGATGGATGAAGATGACAGTGCCTGATAACATCTCAAATTTGCTTGCAGTCAAGGACTCGATGCTTAAAACAAATACTGACGCCATGAAAATGGTCTGGTTCTGACGGAACAACAGAAGCTCAATGATTGTATTTATCTCTGTGATTACCAGCAGCCCTTAAAGCCTACCAGCCTGGTCCTGGGAGACAAGTCTTAGGGCCTTCAACCTTGAGTGCCCTTTCCTATTCTGACCCAGTCCCAGGTTTATGGGTTGCTATTTAGCAAAACAGAAGAGCCGGGAGTACATTTATGGTTTCAGGGAGAAGGGAATGGAATGAGTGTTATGCAGACATAAGGGCACAGACTCAGAAAAGATCATTTCAGTTATCAAATATACACTCAAGGGTGGGGAATCAGGATACAAGCCTAATCTCTAATTTCAATTCCACCCTTCTCGTCCAGAATTAATATAGATTTACCCAGATTAAGCAATTTTCCTCAAAAACAAAAACACTCCTACTTTTAAAATTTAAAAACATCTAAGGAAAATTCATTAGAAATGTGATGAGGTATTGGATGTCCATTAATAAAAAAGTCATTGCGAACATTATATTGAATGCTATTTCAGGAGTTCTGAATGTTAAAGCAAACTATCAAAGAAACAGGAAAATACCAGCTGCTTTTAAATTTTAGATGTATTGCTTTTACAAATTCTGAAATCACAAAGTGTGAACCAAACCGTCAATCCCCTGTAACAACTCTGTGAGGTAGGTGTCTGCACAGCCACAGGGACCAGCACGGTCCTTTCTTTCCCCGTTGCTTTCAGACGCTGGGAGCTGAAACCACTGTGCTAGTGGGCAGTGAAGACAGTTGTTTCTCAGTCTTGTTTCCACAGACCTACCCAGGTTACCTGCTCCTGGGGTTGGGCCGTATTTTTGTGCAAGTTACAATATTGTTGTTCCCAAAAAATCAAATTGTTGCTTTGATTTATATGACCTCACTCTGAATTATAGAAGTGTTACTATGTTTAAAACACTGATTGACTCTACTTGCTTTAAATATTTTCTCAGATATCACCTACATTTATTATCAGTGATCAATACAGATGACATAATAAGCAGTTCAAAATTCTGAGATGTCCACGTTTCCCTTTCAATTTAATAAGATTTCAGATCATATAGTGTTTTTATATGTTACCTCTACCAGGAAAGTCTTATAATATGCACAGAAAATGAAATCCTTTAAAAAAATGATGTTGTTATATAGCCCACATCAAATCTGTAATTGGTAGGAAATGCATTTCCAGTCTGGTGTAAAAAATTCCTTCTCATTAGTTTTTCAAGTTGGTACCTGCAGCTGAAATGTTTTTCTGTGATGTATGCCTCCCAATTAGACATTTGATTTGGAAGTATAAAATTATGATTCATGAAGTCTTGATACGTCATCTTTCTGCACTTTTTCTCTTAGGAGCACCTAAGCTATCCTACTCCAGTGTATTCCAAGAGACTCCCGATGACCCCAGGTTCGCTCCAGCTCCACCCCTTGGTAATAACCCTCACGTTTATCTGAGCCCATGCAGGAGTCCCAGGGAGTCTAATACCAGTTCACTTATTTGTGCATGGCTTCAGACGAAAAAACCTGTCATCTGTAATAGGGATTTCACCTATAAAAAGGAAGACAATGCCCTGCCTTATTCACATGCTGTCTTAAGGATGAAAAGAAAAGTATATGAGAAATTGCTTAAATTATTATGTGCTGTATTTAAGCATTATTATTTTTCCCTCTGCCAAGCAATAGTTTTGTCCTAGGCCCAAATTAGAAAACACTATTATTGATATTTTACTCAGAATCTTATTAGTTAATGGCAATCAGATTAATTTGGGACACTGTGACAGATTTTTTTTGGCCTATCTATACACGGTGAGGCTCACTGATACCTGAATGGACAGTATGACTGTCGGTGACTGCAGGGGACAGAGCTAACACCCCTGGGCATCAGCTCCACTCTGCTGTCCAGTTTGCTAATGAGCAGTGCCAGCTGAGGGAGCGAGGATTTCATAATACTTGCGGTTTTGGTTCTCCTCAAACGGAAAACTGCAGAAGAGAGCGTTTGATACTTATGCTGTAGCCATTAAATAAACCAAGATAACTTTCCTATTGAACCACCTTGGACATTTGCGCATTCTTCCTAAGACTTGATGAATTTGGGCTATCTGCTGCCATCTAGAGTCAGTATTGCAAGTTTTCTGTCAAGAGAAAACTAACCAAATTTGTCCATTCTGTTATGTAGCTCCCAGTAATTTGTCAGATTTAAGGTCTACCCTCCTAAGGTCTTTAAAGCTCAAGCCATGAAGAACCACTTCCCTCAGAAATGCATCAAACTATGATGCGTTTACAGTACCACCCAGGTTCCTGAAAAAACAATCCCTTTACAAGTTCCTTTGATACACTGTTCCTATAAAAGGACCAAACTCCTGTGTAAGTGCCATAACTGAGAACTAAGTGTGCTGACTAGAGATAAATGTCTTATATCTTGTTAATTCTTCTAGAATTCTGGAAACCAGAATGTGAAACCTGATTATAAAGTTCAAGTTTTCGTTCACTTTCAACTGATAACAAAGACTTAGAATGGAAAAGCAGAACTGCTCCAAATGTATAAAACTTAGTACTAAAAGAAACACTGACTTTTGCCCAATATTGTGCAATATTTTATTGTAATAAAAATATTTAGATGCATCTCATTGCAATATATTATCATATAGGTACTCACTGAGAAGGAAAAATTGGATAAAGTATACATTTAACAATATCTTACTATATATCCAATTAATCTGAGTAATTTGGGGGGAAAGAAGAAGATATAAAAAAAAAGCATCCCTTTTTATATAATTCCATGTTTTTTTTTCCAGAGAGTTAATAGACAACACAATCAAGATACAGCTGTAAATTATTATAATGCTAACCCTAATATTAGAACCTGCAACATGTAAAAATTCCAGTCATACGTTGCTAGTTATTTGCCAAATGATAATCAAATGTTTGTCATACAGTGGTTTTAAGTTTGTAAGATACTATTCAAATGCATTACACTGCCATGGGTCAGTCCTTTTGTTTGATTTTACACATTAGCTCATATTTTAGTAAACTCTTTTTTCACCTGTTTAGTCTCTGTGTTATCACTTCTCGATACATAATAGAGATGTAGATAAGCAACAAAAAGATGACAAAGAAATCATCTAAAAAGCCTAAAATTCCAAACAAGGCTTCAGGTACAAAATCTAGAGGTGATATAAGATAGAAAAAAGCTCCCATTAAACAAAGTATTATCCTGATACGGAACATCCAGAAAAGGCCCCCGACTGAAAACATTTCCCTGAATGCATGTCTCAGTAAAGTGGGTAGATCCATAATTCTTTCCATAATCTGGTAGGAGGAAGAACAAATATTATGATTTGGCATCTAATGTGTCAGACTTACAAATAATATAATTTTCCTACAAAGTGCAGACAAACTCAGTTAACATGAACTATTGAGTTTCACATACTGATTGAACATCATATTTTCTAGTTATCATTTTATTTAAAAATAGTTATTTGATTGCTAGGTTCCTATAAAATAGGCCTTGCAGATAATTAAAAAGCAACTAAAATGTCAACAAACTTAAAATATAGGACATAATAAGGTAAAACTTCAGTTATCTCTAATATGAATTAGTAAACTAAACGAAGAAAGGACTGTATTAGATTAGAGTCTGAGGCTTGAGGTCAAGTCTCAGCTTTAAAGTGAGACAGATCTGGGTTTGAATTCAAAGTCAATCACTTTTATTAGCCGATGACCTTTGGGAAACTTGTTTAACCTACTAGAGATAGGTCATCAACTAATTCAGTATTTATGTACCATGAGGACTTTCAAGAACTAAAAGAGATACTGTATATAAATGACCTTCATAAACTGCCAAACAATATATATTACCCATTAAAGACACACGAAGTTAATGGCTTTGACAGTCTAAGAATAGCAATGAAAGTGATCCCTTCTTAGGATGTTTATTCTGCTTAGCTTGAGGTTAAGTGAATCACTAATTGCTACAAAGATTTTTGGAATACCAAGCCCCACCTTTCTGAAAACGATTAAGTTTCTAAATATGTACAGAAATACACATCAGACACTAGGTTTTTACATAAATGAGCAAAATTTTCACAGCTGAAATTTAATAAATGACATAAATGTTTAAGATGTGGAAAACTGGAACCCTCATACACTGTTGGTGGGAATGCAGAGCCCCTTAGGAGACAGTTTGGCAGTTCCTCAAGATGTTCAACAGTTATAATATTCAGCAACTGCACAACGAGGCATATACTCAATAAAAATGAAAACACATCTACACAAAAACTGGTAGACAAGCTAATGGAAGCATAATTCATAATAGACAAAAATGGCAACAATTCCAGTGTCCATCAACTCACGAATGGATAAACAAAATGTGACATGTTATTCGGCCATAAAAAGCAATGGAGTACTAACATAGGGAATATAGTCAATAATATTCTAATAAGTATATGATGGCAGATGGGTACTAGACCGACTGGGGTGATTACTTTGTAAATTATATAAATGTATAATCACTATGTTGTACACCTGAAATTAATATAATATTATATGTCAACTGTAATTGAAAAATAAAAAAAAACATGAAAAAGCAATGAAGTACTGAGATATGTTACAGTATGGATGCACCTTGAAAACATGCCAAGTGAAATAAGCCAGAGACAAATGGCCATATATTGTATGATCTCATTCAAATAAAATGATGAGACACCCAGAATAGAAAATCTATAGAGACAGAAAATAGATGAGTGGTTTCCAAGGACTGGGAGAGGGGAAGGGTTGAGGATAATGGTAAGAGAATATTAAAGCTTTTCAGAGAATGAAATATTCTAAAATTATATCATAGTGGTAATTAGATTATATTTACCCTAAATATACTATAAGTCATTGCATTATATACTTTAAAACAGGCTCACTTCTGGCGTGTAAATTACTTCTAAATAAAGCTTTTAAAAGATAGTCCCAATATCTACAGTGTAGAGCAAAAGTAGGTTTACAGTTGTGGGTGCACAAAATATAATTCTTATTTATTAATTACTGTATTTTCCATACAAATAATTGTAAACCTACTTTTACCCCACCCTGTACTTGTATGACCTTTAGCAAGCCAGTTTATTCTCTGACTCCAAACTTCTCAGTTGTTTTGTGTAGTTATTAATTGACTATATGATCTACCAGTAAGGTCCTATGTATTAATGACCTACCATGACTCTTCAACTTCTTTCATTATCTTATTATCCAGGGGTTGGCAGATGCAAGAGAAACTGACCAGAGGAAGGAAATCACTTCCTGTGGTCATTCCACTGCCCACAGTTCAGCTGCTATTTTTAACAATCTGTATAAATGTCATAAGTCCAACTCTATTGTATAAATTTTGTTTAACAAGTGTCAAATAAATTGAGAGGGAGATAGAGACAAAAATAGGAATAACTGAGTAAGTGATGAGAAAACAGTCTTATTTTATTCTATGTTAATCCTTATCCCAGAATATTTTTCCATTGATTTTTAGAAATAGTGGGAAGGAGGTTGGGAGGCGGGGAGAGAGAGAGAGAAACATCACACATCTATTGGTTGCCTCCTGCAACACACCTCAATGGGGCCAGGGATTGAACCTGCAACCCAGGTACGTGCCCCTGACTGGGAAGAACCCGTGACCTTTTGGTATGCAGGCTGACACTCTAACCACTTAGCAACACTGGCCAAGGCAGAAAAAAGTTTCAAAAAAACACCAGATAAAGGAAATCTTGTAAATCCTTTTGGAAAACTGGTCACAAAAGAACAAAAATGGTCTTTTTAGAATCACTTCCTATGTTAATTTTCTATTCTATTCTCTATGGAAGAAATCAATATTTAAAGTAAAACACCTATTCAGTTTTTACAAGATCTATGGTAAATTACTTTAAATATTCTAACAAATACTTTTCTGTTATCACAGCTATTTTTCACTGCTCATATGGCATCATTTATATAAAATCTAATTAGACAAGAAATATGAAATGAGTTACTAAGAAATGTTTGTATATTAATCACAATCTTACTCCAACTTTGAATGAGGTAATATCAAAGTAAGAGCTAAATGTCTTTATTAAATTGTAATTTCATCACATACCAAACTCTCTTACTCATTAAATACATACCTGACACACAAAAAATAAGAATTGAGCAATGGTATGTTTCACACTTAAAAATATGAATATCTTAAAATGATTTTTTTAAAGTCCAGTGGTAGTTCTTGAATTTGAAACATTGATTTCTCAAAGAATCATCCTACAGGTGTCACTGAAGGATATGTTAAAGTGCTGGATGGAAAATAGCAGAAGAGGGCCAGCTGGTGTGGCTCAGTGGTTGAGTGTCAACCTATGAACCAGAAGGTCAAGGTTATATTCCCAGTCAGGGCACATGCCCAGATTGTGGGCTCAACCCCCAGTGTGGGGAGTGCAGGAGGCAACTGATCAATAATGATTCTCCATCACTGATGTTTCTATCTCTCTCTCCCTCTTCCTTCCTCTCTGAAATCAATAAAAATGTATTTTTTAAAAATAGCAGAAGAGGCTCCCAAGTAACTAAGGAGGACAAGAATGATTGGATTGTTTTTCTTGTTGGTTCAACATCTAATATTTACCCATTATCATCCACAACAGATGAAACTGTATACCTTTAAATAGACATGACATTACAGAATAAGGAATATGAGCAAGGGAGTACAAGAGCACTAGTTGTTTATCACTAAAGCATTTTAATAGCTCATGTTTTTTTGTTTGTTTGTTTAATCCTCACCCAAGGATATGTTTTTATTGATTTTACAGAAGAAGGGAGAGGGAAAGAGACAGAGGAACATCAATGTGAGAGACAAACATCGATCAGCTGCCTCCCATACACGCCCCTGACCAGGGATTAAACCCACAACCTTTTGATATACAGGATGATGCTCCAACTAACTCAGCCACCCGGTCAGAGCAATAGCTTATATTCCTGGCTAGGAGTAGTGTATCAATTCTTAATTTAAGGATAATTCATTAATTTTCTCAATAAACATTAAGGGCCTATTGTATCCCAGACACTGAATTTCACAGTGAGAATATAGTACTGAGTAAATAAACCCAGTCGTTGCTCTCATGATGCTTTTAGTCTACGGAGAGAAAGACAAGGAACAAGTCTTGAGTGCCCTTTGTGACGGATGCTATGAAGGGAATGTACAGAGGGCAATAATAGAGAATACCTTAGTTGTCATGGAAAGCCTCAGCCTATTTAACAGCTACCTGAAAGATGAGAAGTCATCCATGAGAAGAGCAGAGGGACAATCATCCCAAACAGGAAATGGCACATGTGAAGGCTTTAATGTGGAGGGACTTGGAGCTATTCTGAGAGCTGAAAGGAGGCCAGTGTAGTTAAGTATGGTGAGGGATGGGGAGGGTGACACAAGAGGTTAGGGAGTGAAGGAGGAACCAAGTCATGCAGAGCCTTGGAAGCCACAGTAAGGAGTTGGATGGAACATTATTACAAAAAACGGCAAGGTTTTAAAAAAAATACATTGATTTTAGAAAGAGGAAGGGAGAAGGATAGAGAGAAACATCGATGAGAGAGAAAAACTGATTGGCTGTCTCCTACACACTGCCTACTGGAGATTGAGTCCAAAACCTGGGCATGTGCCCTGACCAGGAATCAAACCGTGACCTTTTGGTTGATGGGCCAATGCTCAACCACTGAGTCACACCAGCCAGGCCAAAAAACTGCAAATTTTAAAATACAAAAGCATCATGGCCTTACTTATGTTTTAAAAACATTACTTGGGCTGCTACGCAGAGAAAAACATCAACGTGAAGAGGCCACGGTAACTGTCCTAAGCAAGAGATGATGGTGACTTTGACTAATATAATAGCCAGAGACACGACATTTTTATAAAGTAAAAATGACAGGAGTCCCCCAAAAGACAAGAAATGGTATGACTTATTTACAGATCAGATGAGGGGATTGAGGGGAGGGGGAGCTCAGTAAGATTGAGAAAAGAGTTAACTGAGTTAGGGAGGGAATCAGTTCAATATTATACATGTTAAGTTTGAGAGGCCTATGGAACATCCAAGTGGAGATATAAGCTAAGCAGTTGATATACAAAGTCTAGAGCTCGGAGGAGAGGTCTGTGTGTTCCATATATGCATTACATTTGTACTTAGTATATTCTGGTTTTTGAAATACATATTCAGTCATACATACACTTCTAGATTTCTGTTAGATTTTGAGAAAACTTGAATGAGACAATAAAACATGACAATTTTTAATCTATCAAATGCCTTTTTTAAGGGGAGGGGTCAACTGTAGAATTAATGTTATTTAAAAGTAGAATGTTCTTGAATAGCTAAGATAACACAGAGGGTTACTTAAAGGAACATTTCAAACAGGGGCTAGGGTAAATAACTTGAGTAAAACACAAGTGTAAAACTGTCTCCAGCAGTTCTCAGTTGTAATTTTCTCATAAAACAAACCCTATTTTAGAATCATAGAGGAGTTGATAATTTTACATCTCCCTCCAATTTTCCCTATTGCTTTTTTGCAGGTATCTCTTTCATAAAAGGCTTTTACAATGCCTTTTTTTTTTTTTAAGATAGAAACACTGTAGTTCTTGGGAAAGCTGTAACTCAATGAATGACAACACTGATTAAAGCAAAAACTTTACCCAACACACGTAAACAATGAGGTTTTTCATAGTCAAAGAATATTTGTTGGTAAAGCTCACTTTACAAAAGAGAAGTATCATTATACTTTCACTTTGTTCCCTCTAACTTTGTACCTGCTATAATGTTACTTACAGATCTGGGCTGCCCTGAGAATCTCCGGTTATAATCACTAATATCTTGAAGCAATGATACAACTTCCTGAGACTGGTCATTTTCACCAAATACTGGTAGCAATAAAGTTACCTATAATATTACAGAAAAAAAAGTTATACCTTTCTGCAGCATTCGTGTGTATTTTTTTTTCATTTTGTGTTATTCAGTAAAATGAGAGAAACTTTTGAATTTATATTTCACTCATTTCCTTTAATAAAGGCAACACAGGGGAGGAAAGTAAGATCACTGCCTACTATAAAATCCAGTGCAAAATTAATTTGAACATCTATAAAATAAAATGGGCACCTTATCCAAACACGGGTTCTAATATTTTCCAGCCCAGACTCGGAAAAAAGTCAGTAGTTCTCTACAGTTGAAGATGTAAGAATGATGAGAAAACATTCAGGAGCAAAGTGACGTAAAATATATATATCACTTGGAGAGAGAAAAACAGGGGATCTCTTCTTTGATTAAAATCATGACTCCTTATCCTCACTGGTATTTGAATATTACCAACCATAATACAAGGATTAACTTAGTGCAAGGACGTTCTCAAACACCTAGCCCTGCTACAATAAAAAAAGTTCCTTCTTGATACTGTTATATAACATAGTACATTTAACCCATTTTCCTTCATGGTAGAGGTGAGGATACACAAATATCCCAGGACCACATTTGGGTAATCTGAAGATGTAGACCAGGGGTCCTCAAACTACGGCCCGCGGGCCACATGCAAATACAAATATTGTATTTGTTTCCGTTTTGTTTTTTTACTTCAAAATAAGATATGTGTAGTGTGCATAGGAATTTGTTCATAGTTTTTTTTTTAAACTATAGTCCGGCCCTCCAACGGTCTGAGGGACAGTGAACTGGCCCCCTGTTTAAAAAGTTTGAGGACCCCTGATGTAGACCTTGAAAACCCCGATAGAAATGGTTGTTGCACAATGACAGATTTAGGTTTGAATCATCTAGCTGTTGTTGGTTGTTTATTTTTCTTCAGAGAGAGGAAGGGAAAGAGAAAAAAACATCGACCTGTTGCCTCTCATATGTGCCCCAACCAGGGACCGAATTGCAACCTGGGTATGTGCCCCAACTGGGAATTGAACCCACAACCTTTCAGGGTACGGGATGATGCTCCACCCGAGCCACACTGGCCAAGGCCAGCTGTTGTTTCTGTCCTTCCTCTGTTCAGCTGTAAAACCTGGGCTTCCCAGTACCCACATACTCTCCAACAGCTGAACAAAGGAGTGACTAACAGCAGGCAGTACAAGGAAGAGCACGTACTGTTATCTCTTCACGAATTTGTCAAGTGCATTCTTTAAATAAATATTAATTGAGCACCTTATTGTGGGCACTGTGCTAAGTGCTTGATATATTAAAAAAAAAATGAAGACATGGCCTTGCCCATTGGTGATCACAATCCCCAAGATAGAAGGGGAGGCAGACCTGTTCAACAGCCTATTCTAAGGCACTGTGGTAGGTGTTATAATGGTGCTCGAGAAAGTAAGAACTTCTCCCTGCAGTGTCCAGAGATCTTGAAACTTAAGCTAGCCCTTGAAACACAGGTAGGACCATGCGTGTGTTAGTGTATGCGTTCACGGAGGGAAGTGGTGAGTGTGTTCTAGCCAGAGGCATCAGCCTATGCGTTATTATTTCCAGGGAAACAGGAAGTGAAGCAGGTATCTGCCACCTGTCTTGCCTCCAGGATGAATTACTCTATAGTTAGAAATCCAAAAGCTATTATATTGAAACAACTTTATCTCCATCTTTCTAGCCTCTAGCCAATTTATGGGTGGGCCAAAGGATACCACCTGATAATTTCTATATACCCTGCGAAAAGCTGCGGGTGGTGGAACTAATTCTTTAACACAGGACCTAGGGCCTGGTCTCAGTGTGGCTGGCAGATAGTTAAAGATGATGAAAGGTGATAGTGCAAATAAGTTTCAGTGTTGATTGCTTTGCGTCAGATATAAAATCATCCAGAGAGGCAGTATAAAAAAAAAAAAACCACCAAAAGATTTTCCACCTGACCATATGATAAAGAGTCAAATGTGAAAGAGACAGAATTTGGGAATGTAGAAGGAAGAAGGAAAGAAAAGAAAGCCCTGAACCTCCCCCTACACCAAAGATGAAGGCAGTAATGGAGAGAAGTAGAGTTAGAACAAAGGCTGAAAGGTATACAGGAGTGGGCAAAAGGTTTACAGTTGTGAGTATGTGAGACACTGAGTTTATTCTTGTATTATTATTTTTAAATTATTGTATTATTTTCCATATGAACAACTGTAAATCTACTTTTGCCACCCCCCTATATATACGCGAGCGCGCGTGTGTAACATGTATACCATATGGTTTTACTTAAACTCCAAAAATCAGATAAAACTAAATAATCTTAGAGATGTATGCTATGATAATAAAACCAAGAAAATCAAGGAAATGCTTATGATAAAAGTGAAACAGAAGTTGCCTTTGGGAGAGGAAGAAGGGGTGAAGATTTGGGAGGTGTCATGAGGAGGCTTCTGGGGCGGTTGGCCAATTTCTGTTTCTTCACCTGAGTGATGATGACTCAAGAGTTGCTTTGTGACAATTCAATGAGCTGTACTTCTTTGTTTAGAGTGGTTTTTCTGTATGTCTGTCATATTTTACAAAGAATTTTTGAAAAATCGTCACCTCTCATATCATTTTGTTTTATTTTTTGGTCTCTGTGGGTTTGTGTCTTTATATAACATCCTTTACACCTGGCGAGTGTGGCTCAGTGGTTGAGTGTGAACCTATGAAATAAGAGGTGCCAATTCAATTCCCGGTCAGGGCACATACCCAGGTTGCAGGCTTGATCCCTGGTGGGGGCATGCAGGAGGCACCCGACTGATGTTTCTATCTCTCTCCCTCTCCTTTCCTCTCTCTCTAAACATAAAAAAATATATATTAAAAAATATATCCTTTACTGTTGTTTTAGTGGGGTTATAAGAGGGAGCAAAAGTAAATATATATATCTAATTTGACATCTTTACTTGGAAACTATCCTTTTTAGGACTTTATTTTACATCCTAGAAGACTTCCTAGGGAGATGCTGTCTTTTTACATATTCATAACTCATTATAAGAAAGGTGTATATTTTTATTTTAAATGAAAAATAAAATAAAAAGGAAATTATGAAAAACTATATACAACTGAGAGAATGTCCTATTTTGCTATATATTTTTTTATGATTAGATAAGCTTTTTTTGCGTATCTTTTTTTAAAATTCTTTATTGTTTAAAGTATTACATATAGTATTACATATGTCTCCTTTTCCCATTGACCTCTCATGGGCCACCCCAACCCCCCAGCACATGCCCTAACCCCGCTAGTGTCTGTCCACTGGTTATGCTTATATGCATACATACAAGTCCTTTGGTTGATCTCTTACTGCCCCCATCCCCCCCAACCCTCCTCGGGCTTCCCGCTGTAGTCTGTCTGTTCGATGCGTCTCTGTCTCAGGACTATTTTGCTATATTTACTAATTAAAAGAAACTAAGAACTTCAGTTTCTCAGAATTTTCAGTATACTGCTTTTCCCAGTTTGTCAAAGAAACAGAGAAAATCTGGCAATCCCATCTGTGCTGACATTTCAGTCTTCAATACATGTTTATGAAAACTTACTGCCTCCCTCCTGAGGTAGCTTCTAGACTAACTCTAACAGTCAAATCTGTTCTGGATAATTCAATGTGGTTATGTTTCAAAAAAAAAAACAGTTAAAAAATTATTCATTATTTAAAGCTATCTGGACCCTTACTGGAGAAGGACAGATTAAAAATAAGTTAAAAAGGAAATACCATTTTTTTTCCATAAGAAATATGAGAGATGTTTGCTTAAGCCTGATTAGCTAGTTCAGCTATTACTTTGCTGGTATTACATCAAAGACTTTCTAGGCACTTACCATTTGTTTTTCCTACAACTGAAGAATTTCAAAGGGATTACCTTTTTTTGAGGTGTCTTAAAAACATAGAAATAATGGAATAACATCATAGAAGCTTTGGATAAAGGAAATTCTAAAAATATCAAAATAATTCAGAATTCAGATACAGAAACTACAAAGATTTACAAAATGAACTAGCATTAATGATGCTTTCTGGATACAAACATTACCGTTTGCCTACAAATTGGACAGCTGATTGCCCCAAGCCAAGAACCGTATCTCCAGTATGCAATAATGCAGGTACCTAAGGGGGGAAAAATTAATAGTGATGTTTGAAATACCTAAAATATTTGAACAGTGTCATCTTATTTTAAATTTTTTTTTTCCTTCATTCAACATCTCTTCAGGCAAATTCAAATCTAATAACAATTCCCAGCTATTAAAAAACATTTTTTAAAGTATATTTTTATTCATTTCAGAGAGGAAGGGAGAGGGAGAGAGAGATAGAAACATCAACAATGAGAAGGAATCACTGATCAGCTGCCTCCTGCATGCCCCCCACTGGGGACCGAGCCCACAACCCGGGCATGTGCCCTTGACCGGGAATCAAACCGAGACCTCCTGGTTCATAGGTCGATGCTCAACCACTGAGCCATGCCGGCCGGGCTAAAAAACATTTTTATTTAAAATACCAGTTAAGATATAGATATTTTTAGACAAAAGCAAGCATGCATTAATTGCTTCAATGCTTTGAGGCTTATTAGAAAATATTGCATTTCCTATGTAAATAAAACAATGATTAAACATCATTGTATAAATTACACCAAAAAAATCAGCTTAAATTTTCTGTTCAAAATTTCATATATACTAGTATGTTACAAAAACACAATTCTTACTTTTTTATGAGTTTTGAAAGCCAAGTTACTTAAGTATTAATAACAGTAATTAAGTAGTGTGAAAAAGGAACAAAATTATACAGATTACATGCTCTCTGCCCTAATAAAGTTTATAATCCAGTTTAGTAATTGAATCCACCTTTGTACTGGATGAGTTTGATTTTTTTCCTTGAAGGTGTTTGTGGGCAGCAAAACAGCAAGGCACAGTCCAAGAGAAGACCTCAGAAAGCAGAAGCACTAAATTTTAGACCAGTAACAATGAAGAAGAAATATTTTTAAATATTTTCTGATGTTTAAGGGTCTGATTCATTTTCCTTTCTGCAGGACACCTGTTTCTCAGACCATCCAGGTTCCACTGTGAATCTGAACTAAGTGCTTCATGTCTCCCTCCTCCCTCCAGGGTTTTCTCTGTATTCTTACTCTTGCCTTGGCAACATAGCTTAGCCTCCTGTGCTCCTTATTCTAATTCTTCCAGATCAAATGAATGTCCAGAATTTAGAAGAAGCAATGGCAATCAAAGTGAGGAGACCAAGGTGACACAGTTAATTCAATCAGAGGGTATGTAAATATTGAACTGTGTAATATTAATTTTAAGTACAAAAGGAGTACAGAGAGGGAGAACTTTCTGGGATGTGCTAGAGCAGGGATGGCGAACCTTTTGAGCTCGGAGTGTCAGCATTTTGAAAAACCCTAACTTAACTCTGGTGCTGTGTCACATATAGAAATTTTTTGATATTTGCAACCATAGTAAAACAAAGACTTATATTTTTGATGTTTATTTTATATATTTAAATGCCATTTAACAAAGAAAAATCAACCAAAAAAATGAGTTCACGTGTCACCTCTGACATGCGTGTCATAGGTTCGCCATCACTGTGCTAGAGAGTAACCTGCAAAGGAGAAAGACTTGAACTTTGTAGGATAGCAAAAATTTAGACGGGCCAAAATCAGGAGGGAGGACGCTTCAGGTTTTATGAATAGCAAGAGCAATCACCAGAAGAAGAAATGGATGGAAGAAGAGAAGGGTGAGCAAACCACTGGGCTAAGCAAAAGCTGTACAAATTGGACATTCCAGTGACTGTGGGGAAAAACTGGTTTGACAATTTAAAGATGAATTTAAAAGCTAACCAATCTTTTATCTGATATTTTCCCCCTACTCTCGAGAGTATTGTGTTAGATAATATTAAGTACTTTGAGCAATCTAACTTCATATCGAAACTATATTAAAGCAAAACTTATTATAAATCTGTTAGTATTATTACTACCATTTGTAATAATGCCTTAGATTTATCTCCTCCTTCTAACTCAAAAAGTTCAATGTGTTTTGACACATGAGCTTATGTTTTTTTCATTTTTTTATTTATTTTAGAGAGAAAGGGAGAGAGAAACATCAACGTGAAAAAGAAACATCAATCAGCCACCTCCCACATGTATCCCAACGGGGTGGGGTGGGGTGGAATCCGCCACCCTGGCATGTGCCCTGACCAAGAATCAAACCCTCCACCCTTTGGTGCACAGGACAATGCTCCAACCACCCTGGCCCGGGCTGAACTTATTTAATCCCACATCTCTTTTCCACAAATTGAGGTGTAGGTGTCCTTATTTTGCAAATTATATAACAGCCACTTGCCTGTACTGAGAAACTACGGTCCAGTAAATTAAACACTTCAGTTCATACACATCTGCTATGACATGCTTGATGTGTTTCCTTTTTCTCAACTTTCCCCTTCTTTAAGAAGAGAGATCCACCTAAATAGGATGTGGGAGAGATGACTCAATTATTTTAATCTGGGTCACAATCTCTCTAAATTAGTTTATTTGTAAAATGGGAATAAGACCTCATAAGACTGCTGGAGAATTAAATAAAATAATGATGGCTACAATGGCAAGTAAGGTAAAATCTGCTGCTGCATCATTTCTAACTCCCCGTAAAGGGACAGAACTAGTTCCATATATAGGAACTAAGCTAAAGTGCTCTTGATGGTATCAGTATACTTGAACTACACTATTCAAAGAAACACATTTCTGTTTATTGAGAAGTAGAATAACTAGTTTTCTTCACCTTTGAACTTACAGACAGTAAATAAAAGTGTCTAACAAGTAGAGCAAGATATCAGAGGCAATCTACCCTATTACCTCAGACCCAAAGGTAAAACCAAGAACACAATACAGCCATCTTTCAATTGACTGGGTTATCCACTCAATGAATTACTTAAGCCTGGATTGGCAAACAGAGTTCACCTTGCCTGCCAAACCTCAGTGATTCCTAACACTTGCCTGGAGTACTGTGTTAGAGGATGGTGGAGTCCATATCCAGACTCAGAAAAAGTGTCCAACTGATTAGGAATATCTACCAGAGATTTGAGAGTAGGGGGAAGTATCTGCTTTCTCTGATGGCCATTTAATTCTCCCTATCTGATCTTTCATTATTTTGCTCCTCATTAGCATTTCCAACAGATAATTATAATTTGTTAGCTGCTTAGGCAAAAACCTTAGAAAAGAAGTTGGAATTACTGGATGAGGCAATAATGGGGTTGGTTAGTACTTACTAAATTAGCACCAGGTACAGAAAATCCCGCAGTACCTGGTATGGATTTCAAATACGTATGTCATCCCCAACAACATAAACAGTAACACTATATACCTAAGAATTCTATATAATGAATCTTAAACAAAAGTAATTTATAAGGTCATTGTATGCTACATTTTAAATTAGTCTTTATATGGAAATTGTGTGCATTTTGGGAGCAATTAGAATCCTATCTTGAATATAGCTGTTCAAACAAAGAATTACTACAATGAAAAATCGGATAAATCTTAAGTAGAGAGTAGTTGTATAAGCCACCAATCAGAGTAGAATTGAGCTAGAGTTTGAAGTTAGATGTACATTTAAAACTACCTCTGTCCCTTAGCAGCTAGATTTACCCTTTGTAAAATTTCTTAACACCTCTGAGCCTTGGTTTTGTGGGGTTAGGTGAACTGAAATATGTTAACTATCATGTAATAACTGACTCTCCCCAACCTCATATGACCATAACAAGCAATGACTATATGGCATCTCATTCTTCTCTATGATATCTTTCTGGAGGGTAGAAAGCACCTCTTACTGATACTAAGTAAGTGTGAAATCAACATTGCCTTTTTGTCCCACTACATGCTCTAGGTTTCTCATTCTCCATCACCAAACCTCTTGAGGTCAAGAAAGAGAGGCTAAGGCCCTAACCGGTTTGGCTCAGTGGACAGTGCATCGGCCTGGGGACTGAAGGGTCCCAAGTTGGATTCTGGTCAAGGGCATGTACCTTGGTTGCGGTCACATCCCCAGTAGGGGGTGTGCAGGAGGCAGCTGATCGATGTTTCTCTCTCATTGATGTTTCTAACTCTCTATCCCTCTCCTTTCCTCTCTGTAAAAATTCAATAAAATATATATTTTTTTAAAAATTGAATCTCCCTTAAATGAATATTTTTTTATTGAAATCTCCCTTAAATAAAAAACAAATTTATATTTAAAAAAAAAAGAGGCTAAGAACTGACTGTATTGACTCAGAGTAAAAAATAGTAGAGCTAAGAGAAGGTCTTGGGCAGGGTCCTTGAGAGAAGAACCGTCCTGCCTTGGGAAAGATGGATAATAAATGAAACCCTAAAAAGTGATGAACAATTAGTCAGTCAATCCATCCTGGTATTGATATGCCTAAATTACTATTCAAAGAAACATATTTCTGTTTATTGAGAAGTTGAATAACTAGTTTTTTCCATCTTTGAACGCAGAGACACTAAGTAAAAGTGGCTGATAAGTAGGGCAGGATACCTGGAGCAATCCACATATGAGTCTTGGTCCAAAGAGTCACTATTACCAAGTACAGCACTGTTTGCTTACCACAAAAGAGATGTCCACAGTTTGTTTCCACAGGGAAGGAGGCTTGATGTAAACAGACTGGACAGTACATATCAGTGTAAAACTGCTGTCGAGCAGCAGCAGGTGCATCCTGGTGAGAAAATGTGTATACATTTATACATGAAACACAGGCTTTTCAAAGCTATCCTTATGTTCAACTACACTTAAGAATATAGCCAATACTGGGTAGTCCTCATCAAATTTGAGATTTGCAATAGTTTAAGGTTTAATCAAGTTAATTATTTTCTTAACTTTGCTGAAGAAATATTTAAAGTTATAAATATTGTTGTTTTATTTATAAACAGCATGGTCTCTACCTTCTTTCCTGAACACAATTTAAAAATAAAAACCTAGGATAACTCAGGAGTTTCTCTTTTACTCCCTTAGAATGAGTAACACAAGGCTGAGCTAACCCATAAATGAAGGATAAGAAATGTCAAACTGTTTCCAAAGTATTAGCTTTTTTTCATTTTTAATATTTTTTTCATTCATACATTCCTGACCAGTGTTTAGCTACTTAATTAATTTAGCCAAGGTCACACCTTGAAGTTATAGTCTTTTATGTCATTTTTAATGGTGAAAAAAAGAAAAACATACAGCACTTAATGTTTTCCCCCCTACCTTTTCTCTTATTATTCTTTGGGAATTAATTGATGAAAAACCAGTTACCAGTCCTGTCCAACAGAACTTTATGCAATAACAGAAATTTATTTGTGCTGTCCAGTATGGTAACCACTTGCTACAAATGGCTATTGAGTACTTGAAATATGGCTAATGTGACTAAAGTAGTGAATTTTTAATTAATATTAGTTAATGTAAAATTAAATAGCCATGTGTGGCTAGTGCCTACAATGTAGGACAGCACAGTATAGGATAAGTCACTAGCTTTATTCTAACTATTCTAATCAAGCTATGGAAGGTATGAGGTACATGCCTAGGACAGTAGTAAAAAAAAATAAAACACCTGGAAGATCCCCCTCAGTCTGGGACTCCTGTATATCTAGATCTAGTCATGTAACCCTAGTGTGAATTTAAGGAAATGTTAGTGATCTAATATGTTAAATGAGAATAAATGTTGCCTTTCTTATGTTTGAAGATTAAATAAGAATACTATGTGAAATCATTTTGTGACTTACTAAACACTATCCCGGCATGAATTACTGATAACAACAGCTCTGGAATAGAGTACTACTAACATGCTTAAACTATTTTTGCATCAATTAATTTAAGTTCTAAGAAGCAGGATTCTTGTGTGTTTAGTTCAGAATTGAATTCCCAATTCCTAGAACACTGTGTGGCATATAGTGGATTGTCAATAAATATTTGGTGAATGGATAATCAATAAAACCCTCTTTGGAATTAAAGTTTGCGTGGTGGGTAGGAAATCAATTTTTAAATTTTGTTTTTTGATGTGAGCTATCTCAGCATGAAGGTGTATAATATCCTACTTAATCCAGCCTTCATAAAATATGTTACATTTTTGGATCACAGAGAGTTCATCTGGTTAGAAACAAAGACAGGGCAGATGAGAAAAGTTTTCTTATTTTGCCTACCTAGTTTTCTTAACTTTGACTGCTGAAGAAAAAGAAAAAAAGCCACTCTTTATAGTCATTTCTTTGTAGGTCTTTGAGAAATTTATGTTAGAAAGAATAGTTTTTACACTACATTTCGCTAAAGCCAATTAAACAGTGATTCTTTCCTCACAAGTAAGTAAAAGGAAAACTGCTGTCTTTTAAAGCAAGTTAAAAAAATATGAAAACACCTGAATAGATTAATACTAGTCGTTTGCCTAATCTGAAACTATACAATCAATAGAATCATTTAAGGTCTTAAAGCAGGAAGAAGCCTATGTTTCCAAAAAGTAATTTATTAATACTTCATCACAATATCATAAACAAAGGGTGTTATAACGTCTACTTCTTGCATAAATGCACATATTTACATAAACAGTACCTGTTCTGTTTGAAGTTGTTCCCGAAGCACCCTTATTAGTTCTTGGTTTTCTGGGTGAATGTTTTGATGTGCATTTCTGTTGAATAAAATACAATAAACTTTGAATATAAAATACTGTCAGATGAATCAGTTTTCTTTATGGGTCTAATTTTTGATCCAGAATACTGGTAACTAAAACGTAAATGATAGTGGACAACTGTACTCCACTTCCAGGACTGAACACTCCAGGCTATTCTGAGATCACTGATTATTGGCCCATTTCAGGTTTAACTGGCAAATGATGAAATTCAGAGACCTAGTACCTTGGATTTAATGTAATCACAGACTTACAAATAATAAAAGAACAATGAACACATTTAATTCTTTTGTACAATTCCTTCAAAATAAGCAGCTATATAAATCTATATATTATTATGCATTTGAACACTTTCCCATATCTAACAAAGTCCTTCTCCCAACTTTTTAACCTATGGTGAGGTGGGGGACAGAGAAATCAAAAACTAAAATTATAGCCCGGCCAACATGGCTCAGTAGTTGAGTGCCCACCTATGAACCAGGAGGTCCCAGGTTTGATTCCCCTGCAGGGCATGTGCCCAGGTTGCGGGCTCGATCTCCAGTGCGAAGCATGCAGGAGGCAGCTGATCAATGATTCTCTGTCATCATTGATGTTTCTATCTCTCTCTCCCTCTCCCTTCCTCTCTGAAACCAATACAAATAATATTAAAAAACAACTAAACAACTAAAATTATATAATGTAGAAATGCCAAAAGCTAACATACCACTAATATCTTAACATTAAAAATTAAACTGGATACTCAAAGGCAATACAATAGTGACTGATATACTAGGATGGGATAAGACAAGTAAGTATTGAAAATTAAAAGTACTTAGGTTAGCAGGTTGGGGGTCAAGATTCATATCTGAATTATGGCTTAATTTCATTTGACTGTAAAAGTTTTTCCTAAACTAAAACCTCTTTAACAGCAATATTTTAAGTCCACACAATCCTGGTGTTACTCTATAGAGGAGCCTTTACTCTCTGGGTGAACCAATATCCAACAGCAATAAGAATTCTAAACTAATATTCCAATGGGATAAGGAAAATTAAAGAAATCCATCCTATGATTATTCAATTTTTAGTAAAAAAAATTCAAATTTTAGCCCTAGCTGGTTTGGCTCAGTGAACAGAGCATCAGCCTGCGGACTGAAGGGTCCTGGGTTCGATTTCGGTCAAGGGCACATGCCTGGGTTACGGGCTCAATCCTTAATAGGGGGCGTGCAGAAGGCAGCCAATCAATGATTCTCTCTCATCACTGATGTTTCTACCTCACCCTCTCCCTTCCTCTCTGAAATCAATAAAAATGTTTGAAAAAAATTTTCAAATTTTAGAAAAGAAAGCTGATTAAACATAACCATCATTTCAGAGAAGACATAAAAACAATTTAAAGTCAAATGTCTAAATGTAATGGAACTCCAGTTAACCCTTGATTATGTGGACCTTGATTTAACAGACTTTGGATTTAATGGACAAAATTTCCGGTCCTTATGTAGTATGTGAAAATGAACACATTGTTAATTTTAAAATGCATTTTACCAAGATTTACTTATAATTAAATTAACAGGTTATTGTTGTTGTTGTTGTTATTCACTGGTTTTGTTGTGGGGTTTTTTGGTAATTTTTGAATAATTTTTTTCTCTATTGATTAAGGTATTACATATGTGTCCTTATCCCCTCATTGCCCCCCCTAACCCCCCAACTCATGCCCTCACACCCCTGGTGTCTGTGTCCATTGGTTAGGCTTATATGCATGCATACAAGTCCCTTGGTTTATCTCTCCCCCTTACCCCTACCCTTTTTAAACAAATTTTAGCAAATGGGCCATATGTTGGAAAAAACACTAGCAATTTCACTGACATAAATAAATATTACATATCTACAACTATAGTCTACATATTTAAATCCAAGAAGCATCGCTGGTAAACAGTGTTTGGCAAACAATTAGCAGGTGATCACACTACATCGCTCATAGTTCTGTTGTCGGGTTGGGTGACTTTCTGCAGCAGTCTTAATGCACACTAGCCACCGTTCTGACGTGCACTGAGCCACGCCCCAACCGTGTGCATTTGTTTACTCCAGATGACTGGTGAATGCATGCATTTATTACACCTATTCAGTATAAACTTAAAACCACTGTAATATAGAAAACTATTCTGTGAAATTAAACTTTTCATATATTCTTAATTTTAATTACACAAACATGTCTACCTAAGTAAAAACAGGCAAACTAACTTACACTAATAAAAGAGAAACATGCAAATTAGTGTCACTCCGCTACACCCACCAGCCAATCAGAGTGACTATGCAAATTAACCCAACAAAGATGGCAGTTAATTTGCATACACAGGCACAGAGCGAAGACTGAAGGCTCCAGCCGGAGTGAAGACTGAAGACTGAAGAGGCTTGGCTTCTTGGCTGCAGCCGGACCAAAGGCCTGGGTCCCAGGTGCCGGAGGAAAACCGGTGCCAGCAGCCAGGGGAAGGAAGGCCTATTGCGTGAATCTTCGTGCAACGGGCTTCTAGT